TATATATATATATATATATATATATATGTGTGTGTGTGTGCGTGTGTGTGTATATATGCAGATGCACGCCATATAATGATGAGCATAGTCGTAAAATATCAATTGTGTTATTTTAGAAATTCCTCAATGACCATATATGAATACGAATGTCACTCAGGACAGGCTCTGAGCAAAAGTGGACAAAAAAATTGTATGTAAATAAATTGTAGATGATTATGAGCTGTGGTTGGGCAGTTCCAGTTGATGCCATCCTGACGCATTGTGACCTTGACAGATGGATCAGGTGGAGGTTTGATTCGCAGTCGAAGTACTTGAGTCCTTCAGCAAGACTTTGAGGCCTTATCGGTGTACAATGAGCTCACGCTACACTGAAAGCATTAGATAAGTGAAGTCCACACTGCAAATCTGCTGGCGTTAATTCAACACCTCAGGTGTTCATTTTAACACTGGTGAAGTATGATAAGCATCCACATTGACAAGTGTAACATCTACAAACATGTTCAATCTTCAACATCCAGTAGAGTGTAACAGCAAAATATAGTGTTGATATTGCAGTAATCATGATACTTCTGAATGTTTAGATGAACACTAATGAGTGTTCATGTCAACACTATGCAGTGTGGCTCAAAGTAACCCAGGCCTCACAACCTTAAAGGGACAGTGTGTAAAAATGTGTTGATTTTTCAATGTTCATTTCATTTCAAAAACCCACTATTCATTTCAAGAATATATACACATACAAACATTCCATTCTGGTATTCGGTATAAGTATTTCACCCAGGAGATAGTGGCACCGCACTTTGATAATAAGGTGGTTCACCGAAAGTTTCATCATGTATTTACATTCGTTACCTAATGGCTGTTCGAATGTTGAGTGGTTTTGCATACTTTTTGGGCCACTTTGATCCGTGTATCTTTCGTTTATTTATTATTTTCACAACAAAATGGGAAAGAAAAAAAATGACCACTGACAAAAGCATTCATTCCCAAAAACAAACAAACAGAAAAAAAGGAAAACGACTCCTTTTTCAATTTCTGAGGTTGTGTGCAAATGGAAAAAACTGATAACTGGCGATTTGGATCTTTCATGTCAGATATCTGCCACAAGTTCTGTGACCCGGAAGTAAAGTTGAACTGGAAGAAAGCTTTCATTCACCGGACTCGCAAGAACTTCATTCATTTTTATTGAGACGTAGGCATGAGCACACTTTAAAACCTCGTAACTTGCTGAATATGTGAGTGATTTTTATAGGTTTTATTTTGTTGCAAATGTCAGACATGTCGCTACAATTCCCCTCCCTCCAAAAATCCATGTGCAATCAAAATATTTCTTCACTCAAATATTGCGCCTTATAAGGCAAAACAGTCTTCAGATCGATTAACGTCATTTGATGTCAGAAAACTGCACTCGATTCTCAATTTTCCCCTAAATGTATGGAGTCTTCTCTGCGTATTAACGAACGCACCCCATGATTGGCCAAGTGCCTCATGTGAACGATTGGCTCATTAATGTAATCTGTTGAAATATGAAACAGGAAAACTCAAGTGGAAACCAAATTATGAGGATTTTTTTTTCCCATCAAATGCCACAATGTGAGAGTTTTTCCTTCCCTTGGGAAGTCTGATTCCGTCTTGAAAGCGCGGAGGATCATGATGCTGAAGAAAATTGTCTCGACTCTTACCAATGAACTTCAAAATATGCAGCAGGTGACACCCCATTTTAATAACATATCATGCAGTTTTATTGAACATCTCTGACGGCCGAGGCGACACTATTTGATTACTAAGTTGTGTTATTGGAACTTTTAACATTGGCCGATTTGCAGTGCATATCCATGTTTAATTCCTGTGTTGGTTACATTTGTTTGTTTTTTTTAATTTGTTTTTAATGCTCATGTATTTGTCCTACTCTCGCTGTCAGACACTGTCAAAATGATTGCTGTGAAAAAGACCTTTTAAGAAACGCTAGTGGTCGTTCAGAAACGTTGCATGCTACTGGTCTTGAGACACAATGGACATGATAACGGAATACTGCATTTTTTAAAAATTGTGAAATCATTGTTCCAATATGAAAATGTGCTTGAATATGGTGTGTGTTCATTTGCGCTGCGAAATGAGACTGAGGCCAATTATTTCAAAAGGTTTGTACATTTCATGTGAATGAACAGTCTTGTTCAGTTTTGCCATGCTTTTGTAAAAAAAAAAAAAAAAAAAAAGTCAGACAACAGTCGGTTTTGTAAAATATTTCACGGTTAATTTACAATTGAAAATATGAAAAAATGTATATTAAAAATATAGAATGTTCGAAGAGTGTTGCTCTTCAACTACCACTCTACTTAACTTTAATATACAGTAACATAGTTGTGTTAATAAAAAATGTTTTTCGGGAAAAAAAAAAGACATAAATTGCAAGCTACTGTAAATTGTGCATAGTTTGAAGATTAACACTGCCTTTAAGTATACAAATAAACTGGACTGACTGAGTTTTAAAAAAATTATATTCTGCATAAAAGTAAAACAATTGTACCTAAATCCGTGAAAAACAGCTTCAAATTACATGTAGTGTCCTATTCTTTGTACTTAAAGTTAAATACCACTGAACTGTACTCGAAAAATGGACTATTTGAAAAGTTTTACGCAGAAAAAAAACCCCGACATCACTGGAATTCAAAAAAAAATTAAAAAGACTAATCAAGCAGTGTGCATCGCTTCAAGCTTTGTTTTGCAAATGATATTGCATGGTTCCAATGCAAATTTAATCTTCTTGAGTGATTATTTTTCATCAGGAGAGATGCCTCAGGTGGGCACACTTTTGAGAACCACCGATGTATAGTCACGGCAAATGGGGGTTCTCTTGTACAAGATTAGATAAGAAAACCTTTATTGTCTCACAATGGAGAAATTATGATGCCTTTTTCGACCTTCCAGTGACTCAAAACACTTCTGACACCTCTTTCACGCAGCCCTACAATTTGATAGAATCCAGAATGCAATGAGGTCACGATCAAAACGTACAGGCACTCATTTACATGATGCAGCACAAGGAGCTGATGAGTGCGCTGTCGCTTGCAGAAAGGATGCTTCAGTTTGGGACCAAATCCACAACCTTCAGGTTGAGGAACAACCACTCGACTACCCGAGCTGTACGTGTATCTGTTATTTCATTGGCAGTGTGGTCAGTGTAATAAATGTGCACACCCCGAAAGGAATCCTTGCTTTGTCGCCTGTTTATTTACAGCGTTTTGGAGAGCGTGCCTTCCATCAGTTTACCTGACTGCAATTGACATCAAAATGGCAGCAGCCTGCCGAAAAGTCGGATTTTCCTGACAATTCCTCCGTCATTGCGTCGAGAGACCGAAATTGGAATCGGGAGGGCTCGTCTTGCAAAGTAACAACAAAATTGAAATGGTTGTAAATTTATGTATGGAAGCGAAGGTCACAGGGCGCGTTTGAGTCTCATTATTATAATAGATTATAGATTACACCGTGTAGGTGTCTTAACAGGAAAAAAAAAACATCAAACCACCTACGGTTTAGTTTAGATCAATATCGAGGATATCACTGAATTGAGACTCTTAGCCGGATAAAATGTGTAGAAATCGTTTAAGAATTGTACACCACTTTTTGTGTTGCGAAACAGCTCAAATTGACTTGAACTGTCCAGAAACAAGGAAAATAAATGTTGTAACAATAATATTCATGAAATTATGATGTCATTATTTGCTGTTACAAAATATATGAGGTGAGTAACTCTTTTCATGGACAATATTATCAATGGTTAAGGTGAACAATCCATCCATTTTCTGATCCGCTTCATCCTCACAAGGGTCGCGGGAGGTGCTGGGCCTATCCCAGCTGTCTTCGGGCAGTAGGCGGAGGGCACCCTGAACCGGTTGCCAGCCAATTGCAGAGCACACAGAAACGAACAACCATCTGCGCTCACACTCACACCGAGGGACAATTTGGAGTGTTCAATCAGCCTGCCATGCATGTTTTTGGAATCAACAAGGATTTTCAGGACTTTACCAAGCGCCCATTCAATATTAAAATCTCAAATTCACACACCTGATGCGAAACATTCACGTTCAAGGTCTTTGGAGGTAGATCTTGAGGAGGCCAAGTTAAGATGTCAGATCGTTGTAAGGGATTTAAAAAGCGGGTCAAAGTGGACGACATGACAGAACTCCTATTTGGTCAAAAATGAGCCAAAATGCTCTTTTGTGGCTCGTGCATTGATGATAGGAGGCAGCTTGGAGCTGTTGTCAGATCATTACAGTAAAACCCTGTGACAAAATAAAGGTAAAAAAAAAAGATCAAAAAGAGGAAAAAAAGAATAAATACAATCATCATCATATTCCTTTCAACTTTATTATTTTGAAAACTGTTGCCTTTGAGATCGAATTGAACTGACGGTCCTCCAGGCATTTTTTTCAACAATATCAAACTAAAACAAAACAAAAACACTCGGGACAAAAGGAAAATTATCACGCACACGAGAACTGTGAGAATGAAAAAGTCTCAAGATCCAAAATATTACTAAATTCCGCCTACAGAGAGCAGCCTGCTGCCCTCATGCTTAACATGATTGATCTTTACACAAACGACATCAATACCTGTTGAGAATAAAAGGTTTGCAATCACTCTCGAGACTTCTAAATGCTGAATTATCCGAAAAAAGGTCAATATGATGTGTCAACGTGTTCGTGCTATTGGGTAACGTCAAACACAATTTCCTCATCGGCGAATGTTGTCCTGCAAACTAAAGTACGGGTAGTCAGACCAGATACTGCATTTCAGCCCTGAGAGTTCACTCTTTGCACTTGAGTTTGCTCGACGTGGCTTGAGCTGAAGAGCACCTCCAAGCCCCGACGTGTCTCAATTTGTCCGAGCCACAGCAAGTTGCGACGAGCTCTGAGGCTGAGCCAGCCGCCTCCGTGCCGCTAAAGGGTGGCGAGCACTCGAAGGAAGGAAATAACAAGAATCAAGAAGGACTGTCCCACGCCGAAAACTAAAGCCTCCAGAGAGATCATCCTCTTCCCCGCTGCCTTGTAAACTCCTGCGATGGCCGCACCTGCGTCACACACACGGAAAATTACATTTCAATTCAGGCCGCACCACAGTGGGAAAGCAGGCCAGGTGGCGGATGAATATTACAATATTGATTGATATTATTACGACATTTAATATTTTCATAGATGGCTATACACACATACATATGTGTGTGTGTGTATACTCTGTGTGTATTAATAAAGGGGGTGAGTAGTCATTGATATTATGTTTATTGACATAAATAGTACACACACACACACACACGCACATGCACAATTTATCTACGAGTTAGTGTTAAAAATGCCTCTGGATGGGAGTGAAGTGTACCGATAAAAGTTATCGGCCCGACACCAGCCTTGATTCAAGGTATTGGGTACCGTATTTTCCGCACTATAGGGCACACCAAAAAGTCATTTTTTTAAAAGCTCACCGAGTGCCTTAAAATCCGGTGCGTCTTGTGTATGGTCATTACGGTAATATGTCGACCCCCAAGATGGCTCCTTGCTGGAGACATGCTTACAATGTTAAAACTTGCTGTTGGTTCAGTGAACTGTGTCACTGCTTTATTAAATAAGTTTTTGTTGCGGCTCCGAAAAAAGGAGAGCAGTGGTGTTGTTTTTTTTTAAAACAGTCTCAACAAATACAGGTACGTCTTTGTCAGTCTCCGTGCCTTCTCTTCTTCAGTTCAACTCGAGAGGCGTTCGTCGCCGCCTCCGAAAAACGTAAATTAATGATTACTTCAATGAAACTACAAAGAAAATCAAGCGAGGAAATCACAAAATAAATTCTGTAGGGGGATATATAATTTATTTTGCGAATTCCTCGCTTGATTTTCTGTTTTGATGCATTATTTTCAATTTTAGTAGTTTCATTTAAGTACAGTAATAGCTAATTTACGTTTTTCAGAGGCGGTCATGAACCCCTCTCGAGTTGAATGGAAGGAGCGTAGCACCATCTAGTGGAGGCATTGTAGATTGCGCCTTATAATGCTATGCGTCCAGTGTATGAAAAAAAATTATAGCCATTCATTGAAGGTGCGCCTCATAATCCAGTGCGCCTTTTAGTGCGGAAATACGGTACTCATTAAGGATGCCGATACCAGCCATCTGAAATTTTGTAAGTATTCCTTGCCAGTAGTCGGTGCTACACTGATGAGTGGATCATCATATGCATACACAGGAAGGCCTTTGTTTTCGAATTATTTAGCACTGTGTTTATTGACATTTCTGGATCATAGTTACTACAGTGAAACTCCTCTACAACGAAATCATGTTTGCAGCAAGAAATTTTTCACAACAGGGGGTTTTTCACCGTAGCAAATTTGATCTCAGATGTAAGCACACACACACCCACACACACAAACGTATGTGTACACGCACACACAAACATTTGTGTACTCTATTTTTATTCCAATAGTGCATAAGTATGAGCACACACTTATTTGACACTTCATATTGTCAGTGTAGAAAGAAAAAAAGGGAAAGAAATTGCAAAATTCACTCTGAGCAGCTAATCGGATGCGACGGATCTAGCTTCATATCTACACACATAGACAGTGAGGTCCCTCTTGGCCAATCGGAGGCCAGGATGATGCTCGGTAAGCCAATGGCAGAGCAGCTACGAGTATGTTGAGTCCAGGAAACTCGCAGCTGAGGCCGAAATAAACATCGTTCACTATGTAAACCAGTGTGGTGGTAGCTTTTGCCTTTTTTCGAACGAAGCAGTAGAGGTCGCTGTTGGATAGGACTTCATTGTAGTGAATGTTTTCGCGAGGCTGCAGCAGACAAAATGATTTCGTATAACGCAACAGGGAGGTTTTCGTCGTATGGGGGGCAGGAGAATGGGAATTGTGTTAATGCATAAAGATTTTTTCACATAAGGGGGTATTTTCGCCTATGTAGGTTTCATTCTCGAGGAGTTTCACTGTAGTGGTATTAGTATCGGTATTGTCTGATAAAAGTGCGATCAAACATATTGCTGTACTTTTAGTTAAATAAAGGGTTCTATTTTTCCAGGCAATGGTCTTTTCCTTTTGGATGGCGTATTTTGAAGTCAGATAAAAGTATTTCCAGCAATTCCGTAATTAAAATATTAATTTATTGGACATCTTTGAAATATGCATATTGCACGTTCCATACTCGCAATGACGCTGTTTTCAAAATATTGTGCAGCCTTGTTTGGAATACAATTTAATTATTTTAGGTGATCGGTAGCATACAAAAATCTTCAAATTACAGAGCTAAATTATTCATTTTGTGAAGCTACAATACAAAACAATAAACCACTTAGAGGCAGTGGACCCGGTTGAACGACGCCAACATTTTGGAGCTTTTTCGGGAAATGTCTCCTCCAGCCCCAAGGAGGCCCTTTCTCACTAAAGGAACTCTACCTCAGAACTCTGACCTTTTGCTGAATGGAGTTCTTTCAAAAATATGTTCCTGCTCATTTTTAGGGCCAAAAACAGCTGAAAAAATTCTCTCTCTCTCTCTCTTTTTAATCACACTTATGGACAAAACACATTGATTAAGATCAAAAAGTCTGTCAGTGTCACTAAGGCAGCAGAACCTACTTGTGAGGACTCCTCCAGCCACGGGCCCAACGATGCCCATTAAGAGGATGGCAATGGGCATCAAGCGGGCCATTTTGTGCTGCCGTAGTGCAACGAACGATAGTAGGGATGCGGGCAGGTGGAAGATCAAAGAGGAGACTGCTGCCCAGAGAAAAACTCCGTACCACATTTCTAAAAAAATATATAAATAAAAAACACAGACACACGTTAAATCACAATCACACAGAAGCGCCAAAAACAAACTAAAATGTTCTTATTTCATTTAATAATGTAATTCAATTCCATGTTTTGCATGCATTTGTATGTTCGTGCGCGAGAAGTTTGTCACGCAGTTTGCGCATGCGCAGTTGGCGCGTGTGACGCACTAGGCGGCTGAGGTTCAAGTGCTGCAGATAGGGCTATGCGATGCAGGGGGAAAAAGATAATCACGATTATTATGATTGAGATTGAAATCATGATTATGTTTTGATTAAAGAAAATTGATCTTGTTAATGTAAAATAGAGCATCGCGGCCGGATGATCGTTTTAGCTCAGGTTTTCATGCGTACCACACGAAAACGACTTCAAATAAATTGTCTTCACTGGAAAGACAGAGATGACACACTAAAAAACGTTTTCCCAAATCAAATCGATTTCGGTCGATGTCTAGACACACGTGAAAATAAACAATGACATAAAATGAAAAATCTGTATTTTCCACAAGGCTGCTGCTGCATACCTAGATTAGTGTCGCTCGAAAATGAAACGTGTACGTACAGTAGACAACCACGGCGACGTAAGGCATCCAAATCAATCCCAACAATATTAACCTACCTGAGAAATCACCAAGAGACGTGTCGTTGTAACTGTGAGTTGCATTTTTTCTTGGCACTAAATTCATACCAAGTAAATGCTGGAAAATGTCACTTTCGCCATATTCCTCCATATTTCCCAATAAACTTCGAGGGTTCACAGATTGAAAAGGTAAAAAGCTACGCTCAGTGCACTGGCCCGCAACAGTCCAACTTTGGCTTTCGGCACTGTTTTCTGCTTCCTCAACCACTTCTTCTTCGTCGTCGTCGTCGGTTTCTTCCAGTTACTTTGGTGGTTGGCAAGCAACTTTTGCTGTAAATTACCGCCACTATCTGTTGGGAGTGTGAATCGGCATCCGACGCTGGTTGAAGACTGGACTAGAGGGGCGTTTATTCGCCGAAAATACGACGTAAAGCATCATCGATTTAATGTATAATGATAAATATCTAATTTTTGTGTTCAAGGAACAGATTTTTAATATGGACAGAGTCATTCGTGATTTGTGATAAAGGTGGCAAAACGTTCTTAATTTATGCAAAACAGTTCACTTTAATATCATGATTCGCACTCATTTTAAGTTGACTTATTTTAAAAAATAGGATTGTAATGTAGTAAAAGAATTGTGTAATATTGTTACATTTTTTTAAAGGTGCGTATCCCGACAAGCCACTTTAGACACAACAGAATAACCTCAACAGATGAAAATTCATCGCCTTCTGGCGTCAGACTTGACTTTTAACGTATTGAGACGCAGTGGTATGGCCTCAAGGCAGCAATAGAGGGCTCCGTCCCTTTCGCAATTACCCACAATGCACTACCAGCGGCCATATGGAGGGCTTTTATAAACAAGTCATACACGAAGTCTATTGTGAATGTTCATTCATCCAAGAATATGCCGCTGACATGTGCTATTATCAACTGTCACAACCGAGGTGGGAGGTATAAAAAGAGTTTTTTTTATCGCATTCCTAGGGTTACGAAAGGCCAAGGAGAGGCGGCAGAAAAGAAAAGTGAGCGACGTAGAAGACAGTGGCTTGCTGGTATCAACCGTTCTGATGTGAAAAATTACGACCAACTTCGTGTGTGTTCTGATCACTTCATATCGGGTATGTAAACAAAACTTCGTCATAGTTATAGAGTTAATGTATCAGGCAATAATAGGTAATGTTAACATGAAAAACAAAGAGTGCTATGGCACGTATTCCGATCGAAATGCATAATGTGCACATGGTACACCGTGTACATTGTCATTCTCCTTGTGTCGTGTCATGGCATAGTGCATATTTCCCTATTTCTTATATACTGGTATATGGATAATAGTAGTAGAAATTATGTTTATATTATAAATGTGTATTTATAAATTAATATGATTTTTAGAGTTTAGCACTGGTACTATATAATGCACTACATGAGAAGAAAAATGTAACTAGCCTGGTGTAAGGTATACATTCTAATTAAATGTTATTCCACTGTGAGTAAGCTAAAGCAATCCCTCTTGCTGTAAATAGTTAATATTTATATTTGCATTTCAGGAAAGCCTCACTTGTCAACATTTTGGGCCTCTTCATCACTAACTGTTATCAAAGGAAGCAAAGAGTTACAGTGTTCTAAGAGATCTTCACGGGACATTCCGACACAGCTTTCATCAAACAGCTCACTAAGTACTCCTGGGTATTTGGCCTGTAGACTGCTCGTGATATAATGTTCATTATAATGTCTGTAGAGGACTTTGAAAATGACAATATCAGCCTTTAACTGCTTGAAGAAAGTGTCGTACCTTGACTGGGACACAGTTTTAGCCATCTTTTTCACAAGTGTTTCATCAGTTAGTTTACTATCTGAATCCTGTGTATTGGAAACACTGTTGATTTTTTCATCTAACTCTCTTTTAAGTGTCTTTGACGAAGTAAAGTCAATCTTGTGCAATGTGGCATAACTCACAGATGTTTTAGAAGCAGGGCAGCATCCAGTAAGCAGGTACCTGAGTAACTGAACTGGCTTCCCTCAGTCTGACTGTGGCTTCCACATAAAACAAGACTGATGCTACATGTGAACAACTCTCTCCAAGTCCAGCCTTGCAATCACAATGTGCTGAAATCATTTTTGACTGACCATCTGTGATAATCCATGGGTTTAGACTTGGATCCGATAACTTCTGAGAGTGCATAACTCTAGCTCTGACAATCCGATGTCCACTCGAAGTCTTGCTGTAAACACGAACATCTCGTACCCATCCACAAACCAAACGGTCGTAGCTCTCCAAACTCTTGTAATTATGAAAGTCCTTCAGTTTGAAAAAAGGGCTTGGCTGACTGATTAAATAGTTCACAAGATCTGGATGGGTGATTTCGGGAAAAAATTGGTAATCTTCACTCCATTCACATTTCTCAATCTGATAAGGATCCTTGCCAATAACAGCATTTTTTTCCCAAATACCGGCTATGTGCTTGCTTATCCAATGTTTCAACATACTTCTCCATGTCGTGTGCATTCACAAATCACCAAATTAGTCAGTAAACAACTCTTTCTTTCATTGCGCAATTTCATTTCATCTTTTAATTGCGAGACTAATAAAGGTTTTCTTATCTTATCTTTCGTGTCGAAGTCTGCGTAGTGAAAAATGCTTGCACGATCAGCGCGAGCCCTCCAATATGGCGCGCCACACGGAATTGTGGGATACCGTTACTATTTTTAGTAAAAAGGACAGAGCCCTCTATTGCCATCAGGCATTTCAATAATATTGCTGAACTACAACAGTTATAACTAAAGTATAACATTCATTCTGACCGGTGTGCAGGTCAGATCTGAAACTTCAGAAAACGTTTGGGTTGAGGTATTGCTGCCAACTACTACTTGACCAATTATTACAACCAAAGCTTTTCTCACTCTGCACTGTAAATATATATACACGTTCAATAAAAATCTGGAAAGATACTTACATAAACCTTAAAGGGACAGCGGTTACTACAGTGGACAGTTTACCATGTTATCAGATTACAGGGTGCATGAAAGGGTTAATTGTGGAGAATTAGTTTCAGTTGTTGTGTTGACATGGTCCAGACACATTTTCACCAATTTACGAGAAAATCCAACTCCTGTACAGTAATTCAATAGGGGTCACAAGCATCCATCCATCCATTTTCCGAACCACTTATCCTCATCAGGGTTGCAAGCGTGCTGGAGCCTACCCCAGCTGTTTGTCTTCGGGCAGTAGGCGGGGTATGCCCTGAACTGGTCGCCAGCCAATCGCAGGATTCCCAAGCAATTTCTTGAAAATGTAGATTCGCACATATCCACAGAAGGAAATTTAGATATACAGTACTGTGTAGGAACGTAATGATTTGATCCCATGCTGAATTTGTAAGCGAGCTCACATACAAAGAAATCAAGTCTGTGATTCCTATGGTTGTTAATTACAATATTTTAATAGATGGAACATACAGCCAAATGCGTAAAAAACACACAAGCGCGCGCGCACACACACACACGCACAGGGACATTATTCAGTGAATTCCGTATCTGATCCCTAAGGACATTATTCAGTGAATTCCGTATCTGATCCCTAAGTAAAAGCTACTATATGTAACTGGGATTGAAATGGCTGTTGACAAGCACAGGCAGAAAACACAGCTCAGGAGGAATTTTGGCCCACTCGTGACAGAAACACATATCCTTTAAGCTGCTTGCCTTCCACACGGACACTCAAAGCTTCAGCGCCCTTCACAGACTTTGTATTGGGTTGGGGTCTTGTGGCTGACTATAGGCCACTCCACAAGCTAGCTGTTCCTGGCAAGCCCTGTATGTTACAGTACAGTACATGAATTCTTTGGCTCACCAACACAGCGAATTTGCCCTACACCCTTTCCAGAAAAAAACACTGTTTTCATCTCCATGCTTGACCAGGGATAGTGTTCTTTGGGTCATCCTGATTTGTAATTTTTTTTTTTTTTCATCCTCCGATCATGGCTGGTCAAGGAGATGCTAAATAGCTCAACTTGGGTTTTACCTGACCACTCACACTTTAGCCCAGGACTTCCGAGTCAATGTCGATGGCGCGCGGGGGAGGGGGGACCTTGCGGATTTCAGTCCATTGTGGCGCAATGTGTTACCAGGTGAGATTCTGTCTACAGTATGACCATGATAAATACCCCCTGCCCCACAAAAATACCTTGTAAGTAAGCAAACTTAACAAATTCAGCACAGGTTACTTTTATAAATGTAGCTCAAAGAAAGACTACAATTATTCTGCTGTATAATAGGGTGAAGATTTAAACGAAATTGTGATTTGGATTACTGTATACCCAAATCCCTATAGGAAGCATTTCAAGTAGAACAACTGAACAGTGTTCGGCGAACACAGTTCGCCATTTTGTCTTTACATTGAATCCAAGCTAAAACTAGCCATTTCCTATGTGGTTGTCTAATGAAATTGAAGTTCGGAGTCTGGGATCGTGTGTATCTGTGTGTGTTTGAGTGTGTGCACACGCGTGTGTGGTGTCACATGTGGTGCCTTTTAATTGACGTTTCATGCAGGTATGCATATTTACACAAAGCTTACATTTGAATTGGCAGAGACATAAGTCAAATTCAACATTTTTTGCTACATTTTGGACTGTGCACAGGACTTCAGCTCAATCCCTTACAATGTGTGTCATTTTTACATTTTTCGAAAATATTTTATTCATACAATCATCTTTTCAACCATAGTAACATTCCTAAATAAATTTGCACGAGATGATGTCAGTTGCGGATTAAAACAACATTACACCACTGCCATTTATCTGAGCTGATGGCAATGTCGCAGATTCCGATGAGGGAGAAAGTGGATGACCACGCTCGACCAGTGGCCTCTGCCATTTCATCAGGAGAATCTTCTCATTGGTAGATTATGCTGGCCAGAAACGGAATACACATTTCTCATGGTGCTCCATTGACTGCTGGCTCCGAGGACATGGCACTCTGGTCCAATCTAGGGAGCGAAAATAAGACATTTATTTGAAAGGCAAGCGGAAGGGACCAGGTAAACATGTCCAGTGATGATAAAATAGCCTCGATATTCTGAAGCCTTTAGAGGGAACCAAATGTTGGCCCTTCAAGCCTATCTGGGTGCATCGAGAATTCTCCAACATAACTTGGCCATGAAAAATTTCCTGATTCTGATCATGGATTGCATCGTCATGGCACAGTTGGACAGTGGTTAGAAATCCTGCTTGCTTTAGTTTATACCTCACAGCAAAACTATGCAAGGTAGGCAGGAAAATATTGTGAGGGGGAAAAAAAAATCGCATAAGGAAAGAAGATGTCAACATTTTTTGGGGATCACAACCAATGAGGAAACAAGGTGAAGAGGAATGGTGTCATACCTCATCCTGATGATAAGATTAATCAAAAAACTACAATTCTGTCTGCACATTGGCCCACGCAGTGCGAGAGCAACACGGGACAATAGGGGCGCCACCACCTGGAACACCTCACCAGGGAAGCATCCAGGAGGCATCCTAATCAGATGCCCAAGCCACCTCATCTGGCTCCTCTCGACGTGGAGGAGAAGCGGCTTGACTCTGAGGCCCTCCCAGATGACTGAGCTTCTCACCTTATCTCTAAGGGAGAGCCGGACACCCTGTAGCGACACCACTCGAGTGAAGCGCACCTCAGCAGTCGATAGTCCGCTGCTCTCTTCTGTGCGTGCGTAAGCGCAAACATTTACGCACGCGCACGTCTTTTGGTTTCAACCAATCAGCGCTGACGCAACCCACATCACATATCAAAGAAGCTTTGAACAACGACAACAGCTAAGTTAGCCTAGCCGACACGACGCTCGAGGTCAGACAGGACACATTTTTCTGGAAATCTGTGTTTCCCTTTTTGCCCAAATATATATTTTTTTACTACAATAGCTGTCTTGTCCATAGCGTCTTTTTTCGTTCCACTGGGGTTTAGCAAGTGTGTTTATAAAGAGAGGAGAATCTCTTTAACCCTGTGGAGAAAACTCATTTCGGCCGCTTGTATGCAGGATCTCGTTCTTTCGGTCACGACCCATAGCTTGTAACCACAGGTGAGGGTTGGAACGTAGATCGACTGGTAAATTGAGAGCTTTGCCCTTTGGCTCAGCTCCTTCTTTACCACGACAGACCGATACAAAGTCCGCATCACAGCAGACGCTGCACCGATCCGCCTGTTGATCTCTCGCTCCCTCCTGCCCTCATTCGTGAACAAGACCCCAAGATACTTAAACTCCTCCACTTGGGGCAAGATCTCCTCCCCAACCCAGAGAGGGCACTCCACCCTTTTCCAACTGAGGACCATCATTTCAGATTTGGAGGTGCTAATTTTCATCCCAACCGCTTCACACTCGGCTGCGAAACGCTCCAGTGAGAGTTGGAGAGCCCTGCTTGAAGGAGCCAACAGTACCACATCATCTGCAAAAAGCAGAGATGCAATACTGAGGCCACCAAAACAGACCCCCTCAACGCCTCGGTTGCGCCTAGAAATTCTGTCCATAAAGGTTATGAACAGAATCGGCGACAAAGGGCAGCCTTGGCGGAGTTCAACCCTCACTGGAAACGATTCAGACTTACTGCCGGCAATGCGAACCAAACTCTGACATCAGTGGTAGAGGGACGGGATCGAACAGCCCGTATCAGGGGGTTCAGTACTCCATAACCCTCGAAGCACCCCCCACAGAATTCCCGAGGGACACAGTCGAATGCCTTCTCCATGTCCACAAAGCACATGTAGACTGGTTGGGCGAGTTCCCATGTACCCTCGAGGACCGTGCTAAAGGGTTTGGAGCTGGTCCACTGTTCCACGGCCGGGACGAAAACCACACTGCTCCTCCTCAATCTGAGGCTCGACTTCCCGACGGACCATACACTCCACCACTCCTGAATAGACCTTACCAGGGAGGCTAAGGAGTGTATGCTATTTATTTTATAAATTATTAACCGATCTAAACTGTTGAAAATAGCTTGCTGTGTTTGATGATGCAATGCCTTTGACTGAACAAAGCCGCTGTTTTTTGGTCACTTGGAAAGCGATGATTTTGGAGATAGGAGGATTTTGCACGGCCCCAGCGACTTCATTCAGTGATTGCAAATTGAAAGGCAGAAGGGCAGATTTTAGGGGTGTCCACACGGCAACATTTGCTCCGGTGCTACGCCGGCGCTGCTCAAAGTGGAGTGGTCACACGTGCAAATTTGCTCCAGGGTAACAGCTTACTCCGGAGCAAATTTGACCCACCTCAGGGAGGTGGTTTAAAAATTTGCTCCGGAGCAAATGCTCGTTTGCGGAGCAGCACCGATGTAAATTTGCACGTGTGAACTCTCCAATTTGCTCTGGAGCAAATGCTCGTTTGTGTGTGTGTGTGT